ATTGGTATCAGTGGGGAGAATAGTGCCCCATCGTTGGTATCAGTGGGGGGAATAGTGCCCCATCATTGGTATCAGTGGGAGGAATAGTGCCCCATCGTTGGTATCAGTGGGAGGAATAGTGCCCCATCGTTGGTATCAGTGGGAGGAATAGTGCCCCATCGTTGGTATCAGTGGGAGGAATAGTGCCCCATCGTTGGTATCAGTGGGAGGAATAGTGCCCCATCATTGGTATCAGTGGGAGGAATAGTGCCCCATCGTTGGTGTCAGTAGGGGAGGAATAGTGTCCCATCGTTGGTGTCAGTGGGGGAGGAATAGTGTCCCATCGTTGGTATCAGTGGGGAGAATAGTGCCCCATCGTTGGTGTCAGTGGGGAGAACAGTGCCTCATCGTTGGTGTCAGTGGGGGAGGAACAGTGCCTCATCATTGATGTCAGTGTGGAGGAGGAATAGTGCCCCATCATTGGTGTCAGTGGGAGGAATTGCGCCCTATCATTGGTATCAGTAGGGAGAAAAGTGCCCCATCATTGGTGTCAGTGGGGAGAATAGTGCCCCATCATTGGTGTCAGTGGGGAGGAGGAATAGTGCCCCATCATTGGTATCAGTGGGGAGAATAGTGCCCCATTGTTGGTATCAGTGGGGGGAATAGTGCCCCATCATTGGTATCAGTGGGAGGAATAGTGCCCCATTGTTGGTATCAGTGGGAGGCATAGTGCCCCATCATTGGTATCAGTGGGAGGAATAGTGCCCCATCATTGATATCAGTGGGAGGAATAGTGCCCCATCGTTGGTATCAGTGGGAGAAATAGTGCCCCATCATTGGTATCAGTGAGAGGAATAGTGCCCCATCGTTGGTGTCAGTGGGGGAGGAATAGTGTCCCATCGTTGGTGTCAGTGGGGGAGGAATAGTGTCCCATCGTTGGTATCAGTGGGGAGAATAGTGCCCCATCATTGGTGTCATTGGGGAGAACAGTGCCTCATCGTTGGTGTCAGTGGGGGAGGAACAGTGCCTCATCGTTGATGTCAGTGTGGAGGAGGAATAGTGCCCCATCGTTAGTGTCAGTGGGGGAGAGGAGCGGCTGCTCCTTCTTCCAGTTCGGCCGCTCGATTTTCGCGGGGCCGCTCGGCTCTGCCTCCTCACCGGTGATTGGTCACCTGTGTGCCTTTCCAGTAAAGGAAAGAAGAAGCAGCCGCGATTCCTGGACCGGATCGTCGTGGGACCGGAGCCAGGTAAGGTACAGCAGCCCCTCTGCCCACCCCTGTATTTAGTGTCCGTTGGAGGAGGAGGGGGGGCGGTGCCGCGCTGCCCCTCGAAAAAGTGCCGCCCTGACACGGCTCGCACCGGCGTATAAGACGACCCCCGACTTTTCAGAAGATTTTCAGGGGTTGAAAAGTCGTCTTATACGCCGGAAAATACGGTAAATGGTGATCACACCACACATGTGAGGTATCGCCACGAGCAAGAGCAAATATTCTAGCCCCTGAGCTCCTGTGTAACTGGTAACCTGTAAAGGCTTTGAAAGTATTATCTATGGAGATTTTTAGGTACTGTAGTTTGCCTACATTCCACAGGCATGCACAATTTTAAAGGATATGTTAGGTATATATTTATTTGGCGTCTCCTATGGAGATTTTTAAGTATCATTGTTTGCCACTATTTCATATGCGTGTGCAATTTTAAAGCATGATATGTTTGATATCTGTTTACTCGGCATAACATCATCTTTAATATTGTACCAAACAATTGGGTATTATATTGTGTTTTTGTGCATTAAAGTTCATTAAAGTGTATTTTTTCCAAAAAATGATTGCCATTGTTCTCATGCTGCTGAAAGTACACAAGAGGCAACAAATGAAACTCTGTATATTTCAATAATATTAGAACAGCATAATTCAAACTTCATGGATTGTATTACAAATACTGACTGTAAAATATTAGGACACTTGCTCCATGCAGATCTCTTCTAGAGCAGTGATGTTTTGGGGCTGTCGCTGGTCAACACGGAATTTCAACTCCCTCCAAAGGTTTTCTATGGGGTTGAGATCTGGAGACTGGCTTGGCCACTCCAGGACCTTGAAATGCTTCTTACGAAGCCACTCCTTTGTTGCCCGGGCAGTATGTTTGGGATCATTGTCATGTTGGAAGACCCAGCCACGTTTCATCTTCAATGCCCTTGCTGATGGAAGCAGGTTTGCACTCAAAATCTCACGATACATGGCCCCATTCATTCTGTCCTGTACATGGATCAGTTGTCCTGGTCCCTTTGCAGAGAAACAGCCCCAAAGCATGATGTTGCCACCCCCATGCTTCACAGTAGGTATGGTGTTCTTTGGATGCAACTCAGCATTCTCTCTCCTCCAAACATGACAAGTTGTGTTTCTACAAAATGGTTCTATTTTGGTTTCATCTGACCATATGACATTCTCCCCATCCTCTTCTGGATCATCCAAATGCTCTCTCTTCAGACGGGCCCGGACATGTACTGGCTTAAGCAGGGGGACACATCTGGCACTGCAGGATCTGAGTCCCTGGCGGCGTAGTGTGTTACTGATGGTAGCTTTTGTTACATTGGTCCCAGCTCTCTGCAGGTCATTCACCAGGTCCCCCCCGTGTGGTCCTGGGATTTTTACTCACCGTTCTTGTGATCATTTTGACCTCACGGGGTGAGATCTTGTGTGGAGCCCCAGATCGAGGGAGATTATCAGTGGTCTTGTATGTCTTCCATTTTCTAATTATTGCTCCCTCAGTTGTTTTGTTCACACCAAGCTGCTTGCCTATTGCAGATTCAGTCTTCCCAGCCTGGTGCAGGTCTACATTTTTGTTTCTGGTGTCCTTCAACAGCTCTTTAGTCTTCACCATAGTGAAGTTTGGAGTGTGACTGTTTGAGGTTGTGGACAGGTGTCTTTTATACTGATAACAAGTTCAAACAGGTGCCATTGATACAGGTAATGAGTGCAGGACAGAGGAGCCTCTTAAAGAAGAAGGTACAGGTCTGTGAGAGCCAGAAATCTTGCTTGTTTGTAGGTGACCAAATACTTATTTTCCACCATAATTTGCAAATAAATTCTTTCCAAATCAGCCAATGTGATTGTCTGGATTTTTTTCTCATTTTGTCTCTCATAGTTGAGGTCTACCTATGATGCCAATTGCAGGCCTCTCTCATCTTTTTAAGTGGGAGAACTTGCACAATTGGTGGCTGACTAAATACTTTTTTGCCCCACTGTATATATATGCACACACACACCCTCTAAATAAAATAACATAGTTAAATCAATTTAAGGATAAAACTGGTTTATACAATACATCTATTTTATTCCCAGAAACCCATTATAGGGATCTCCAGTCTTAGAGTGTCACCTAGTGGTCAAGTTAAGTTATTGATTATGCAAACAAATAGTTAACTGATAATATAGCCATCCAATTAGGAGTGAGTAAATATTAATAAATATACCCTCTTGGAGGATCCCTAGATTAAATTTTTTTTTGGGAAGATAAATAAGCAAGTTTAGACAGAGACAGAATTAATCATCACCACTCATCAGGACCATTCATTATCACCATCACCATGGAGGGTCTTCATATTGAAGTCCAGCTCCATCATAGATCTGCTCCATTTTGAAAGACAGACTCCATCTTGCGTGATCCAGCTCAACTCATCAGTAGTCATTTTGAGGCTTTAGCCTGTTTAATTTAATATTATGATTGTAATAGTTTTTGTTAGATTAATTTGGTATTCTGCTCAGGATATCATAACCACTAGGGTTAGGTTTTATCTTTTTTTTTTCTATTCTTATTATTACTATAATAATTTCTTTTTGCCACATTGGCACAACCCACAGATGGATTTGGGCCCTTATTCTTTCTGCAGGGATATAATGTTGTAACATGTAACAGAGAATATGGTATGCCAGGTTTAGTTATAATTAGTTATGGTATCTACGAGAGGAAATTAATTATTTGATTTAGTATATTCTCTTGGTATATACATATGTTTTAGTGGGGTAAATTGAGGGCATTTGTTGTGAATATAATTTCGGTGTTTGTGTCATCCTATTAATGCGACAGTTAATTGTGTTTAACAGTCGCATTGATAGTGACTTAATTATAAAGTAAATCTTAATTTATTTTTCTAGTTTATATTCCATACTTGCATGTGATATATTGCCACAAATGAGTGAGGGTAATAATTCTAGCACCAGACATCCCGTTTAACTACAAACTGGTACCCTGTAAAGGCTTTTAAAGCGTTGCCTATGGAGATTTCTAGGTACCATAAGTTGTCTCCATTCCACTGGCATGCACAATTTTAAAGCATGATATGTTATGTATATATTTATTGGCCTAATATCATCATTTATATTTTACAGAAACTGCTTGTGTGCACTAAAATTCATTAAAGCGTATTTTTAACTAAAAAAGTTGCATTTGATAAACTGCTGCACAAATTTTATCTTTAGGACTTTTGATTTAAAAAAATATCTAATGTTTGGAGGTTCTAAGTAATTATCTAGTAAAAAAAAGAAGGTTTGTATATGTTTTTAAGAGGTGGTTCAGGGCCGTTCTATGCTATACCATTTTACAGAGCAGGTAATTATAACATGCTTGTTATTTACCACTTGCCTACCGGGCACTTTTACTCTCTTCCTGCCCAGGCCAATTTTCAGCTTTTAGTGCTGTAGTACTTTGAATGACAATTGCGCGGTCATGCAACATTGTACCCAAACAAAATTTGTATCAGTTTTTTTAGATAGATAGAGCTTTCTTTTGGTGGTATTTAATAACCACTTGGTTTTTTTATTTTTTGCTAAACAAACTAAAAAATCTGAACATTTTGCAAAACAAAGTTTTTTCTTAGCTTCCGGTATATAATTTTGTAAATAAGTAATTTTTCTCCTTCACTAATGTGCGTTAATGGGGCTGCAGTGATGGGCACTGATAGGCTGCACTGATGAGGAGGTACTGTTGGGCATTGACAGGCATTACTGGTTGGCATTGACAGGCATCACTGATGGGTACTGAGAGGCAGCACTCATATATGGCACTGATAGGCAGCACTTATAGGCGACACTGACTGGCACTGATAGTCAACACTGATTGGAACTGTTAGGCGACACTGATGGGCACTGATAGGCAGCACTGACGAAAACTGATAGGTGGCACTGACTGGCACTGATATGCAGCACTGACTGGCACTGAAAGGTGGCACTGATTGGCGGCACTGATAGGTAACACTGACTGGCACTGATAGTTGGCACTGAAAGGCAGCTCTGATGGGCACTGATATGTGGCATTGATATGCACTGATATGTGGCATTGATGTGCACTAAAGGGCACTGGTATGTGACATTGATGGACACTGACAAGTGGCAATTATGGGCACTGACAGGTGGCACTGATGATCAGTGCCCTGATAATCAGTGTACATGCCCCCTCTGAGGAATGCCGATTATCGGCTCTCCTCTCTTCATGCACTGTCAGCGTGAGAAGAGGACTGCAGATAACCGACATTTTCTATTTACATGCGATTAGCTGTGATTGGACACAGCTAATCACATGATAGAGCCTATGCCATCAGCTCTTTACTGCGACCGGTGATCCTCTGTGTCCCAGAGACACAGTGCACCACTGGTTGTTGCACCACGCACCCCTGGGGGCGCACATGCACAGCTAGAGTGAGAGGACATCATATGATGTCCTCCCAGAATGAGAGAACCACCGCTTATCCGTCATTTCCTTATATCGCGGGCAGGAGGCGGTTAAAAATATGGCTGTGTAGAGATACCCTTAGAGGGCCTCTGCATTTTGGGTCCTCCTATTCCTGCACAACCAGACAACGCACATTTTTTTCTTTCTCACGGAGTCAGTAACTAGTCCATGGGCTTGTTTGTGTTGTTTTATTGAGGGGAAAACAACTTGGATGGGGATAAAGGAATATGGGATATCCAAATTGACTTGGTACAACAATTCTAGAAGTTTCCAAGGACCTCCATAACCGGGGAGAGGTGATAGAGGCCTGATCTGCACAGTCTTCCAGCCTTCCTTCCTGACTTTAAGCTGAACTCACAGCAATTATGCACATTCGCTTGACTACTGTGAGTCAACATAAATTTACCTACCCTAACTGTATATTAGAGGGTGCTACAGCTTATATATGCCTGCTCTTTTCCTGAATTCACCTTCTAATAAAGAGAATGAGATTCTGTATGGAATATCTATATAAAATGTATATAGTGTCTCAGAAATAATACAGGTTAATTTAATATTTCTGTATGAAATGTGCCTTTCTTCTCCCTCAGACATAGCAGCCTATTCGAATACGTTTTAAATATATTCTGTAAAATTTGTCTAAAATGTTCAATTTGGACTAAACTGTGTTATTTAAAGATCAATCTGCTTACTCTCACCCTCAGTAATTGCAACCCATTTTAAAGGCCTAAAAGGAATGCTTGAACTTTGGTAACATTTTTTTTTCTATTTTAAATAAAATAAAAAGGGAACATATTTTTTTCCATATGCAGTCTGCTTGTTCTCTTCTAAAACTAGAGCCCTATGCAAAAGGTTTTAGAAGATGTGCTTTAAAGTTGTAAAAAAAACTTTAGGTTTGGAAAAAAACCCTCAGAGATAGCCACCATTTTAAACAGGCTTAAAAGCTGTGCTGAAACTCTGTCAAGTTTTCTCTTTTCAAACTAATGATAAAATAAATTAATTTGTCTTTTCCAGATGCAAAATGTCTGCCCATTCCTTTAGAAATTACTACCTGACCAAAAAGAGTAATAGCTGTGGTGCAAATGTGTGAATTTTTCCATCTTCAGTTTAAGAAAAAAAAAGACAATCTTTTTAGTTCTACATGAACTCTGCTCTCTCTCGCTGAAACACTGGCCTTTAAATGAAAGGTGCTGCAAATCTGTACATTTTTTTGTTTTCAGTTTCAGAAAAAAAGGACACACAATTTCTATTTGCAGATTATATTAACAAAAAGATGAAAGGCTGTGCTGCACATCTGTACAAATTTCTGTTTTGAATCTCAGAAAAAATATACTATTACTCTTAGAATATATTTTCAGATGAAATCTGTTTGCTCTTCCCCTGTCCCCTATCAAAATTAATGAAGAGTTGTGCTGCCCATCTGTTTAATTTTTCTGTCTTGAGTCTCAGAAAAAATATTTTTTTTTTATTTCCATATAAAATATGCTTGCTTTCTTTCTCTGAAAGGGAGTCATATCAATAAGGATGAAATCCAGTGCTGCAGATGGGTATAACTTTCTTTTTATATTTCCAGGTGAAATATGCATGTTATTTCCCTCTGTAATAGCACTCTATCAAAAAGGATATACAGTCATGGCCGAAATTGTTGGCACCCTTGATATTTTTCCTGAAAATCAAGTATTTCACACAAAAAAGGTATTGCATTAACACATGTTTTTGCTATACACATGTTTATTCCCTTTGTATGTATTGGAACAATTATAAAACAGAGGCAGAAAAGCAAATATGACATAATGTCACACAAAACCCCCAAAAATGGGCTGGACAAAAGTATTGGCACCCTTAACTTAAAATTTTGGTTGCACACCCTTTGGAAAACATAACTGAAATCAGTCGCTTCCTATAACCATCAATAAGCTTCTGACACCTCTCACCCGGAATTTTGGACCACTCTTCCTTTGCAAACAGCTCCAGGTCTCTCTTATTGGAAGGACACACCTTTTCCCAAGCAATTTTAAGATCTCTCCACAGGTGTTCAATGGGATTAATCTGGGCTCATTCTGGCCACTTCAGAACTCTCCAGCGCTTCTTTGCCATCCATTTCTGAGTGCTTTTTGACGTATGTTTGGGGTCATTGTCCTGCTGGAAGACCCAGGATCTTGGACGCAAACCCAGCTTTCTGACACTGGGCCTACAGTGCGACCCAAAATCCTTTGGTAATCCTCAGATTTCATGATGCCTTCATATTCAAATACCTAATAATAAAATAAAATTAAAATAAGAATCAAAACATCCAATAAAAAGTGTCCCAATAAACAAAAAAAAACATTGTCCAATAAAAAACTTGTCCCCTCATAAAAACAAAAATAGTTTACCGAAAATCTAGGTCTCATCTGTCCAAAAGACGTTTTCCCAGAAGGCTTTTGGCTTACTCAAGTACAGTTTGGAAACTGTAGTCCTTTTTTATTCTCTGTGTCAGCAGTGGGGTCCTCCTGGGTCTCCTGCATAATTTCATTTAAATGTCGACGGAAGTTTGACATAATGCTCCCTAGCCTGCAGGACAGCTTGAATGTCTTTGGAACATGTTTGGGGCTGCTTATCCACCATCCGGACTATTCTGCGTTGCAATATTCATCAATTTTCCTCATCCGTCCACGACCAAATTAGCTACAGTGCCATGGGTTGCAAACACTTGATAATGTTGCGCACTGTGGACAAAAAATCTAGTTCTCTGTGGACTTGTAACCTTGAGATTGTTGATATTTTGCCACAATTTTGGTTCTCAGGTCCTCAGACAGTTCTCGTCTCCTCTTTCTGTTGTCCATGCTTAACAGACAGACACACAATGCAAAGTTAAGTGAACGTCTCTCTTTTTATCTGCTTTCAGGTGCAATTGCCCACTGTGTACTCCACAGGTGAGTTTACACCAATCACATGCTTTAACATTCTATTTATCCGCAGTTGTGAAAGGGTGCCAATACTTTTGTCAGCCCATTTTTTGGAGGTTTGTGTGACATTATGTCGAATTTGCTTTCTTTCCTCCCTTTTTTTGTTTTGTCCCAATACACACAAAGGGAAAAACATTATTCAAAACATGGTCAATACTCAAAATACATGATTTCAAGAAGGGTCTCAAGGCTCATCAACAATTTCAAGGTATAGGTACAATTTTTTTTTATTTCCACATAGCCACTGAAATTGCACATTAAAAAAAAAAGCCAAGCAGATATCATAAATCCAGCTCAGAAAAAGTACAGTGTCATTAAAAACCTTCCTAGTGAGTTCTATCAAAAAATGCGATAAGCTGTGCAATGGATTGGTACAATGTTTTGGCTTACAAAATGGTATATCCACCTACCCCGACACTTCTCAAAAAGTCACACTGCGTGCTCACCAGAAAGTAATACAATATTATAACCTTTTTGAATTTCATAAACATATTCATATTCAAATACCATTAATAAAATGAAATAAAAATAAAATAAGAATCAAAAAACATCCAATAAAAAGTGTCCCAATAAACAAAAAAAATTTGTCCCAATAAAAAATTTCCCAATAAAAACAAAAATAGTGAAAATAGTGTCCAAAAAAATGTCCCAATGTTCAAACTTTATCATCCAGTAGGAAGAAATCCTATTTTGTCCCGGGTTGTCAAAAAAAAACAAATTTGAATAATCTAGTGCATTACCTCGCAAATTTATTTATAAATAATATATACACTCCGTGCAAAAACACAAAACACAAAAACTGTGCAAAAACTGTATATATATCTCTTTCGTGCACAAAAAGATTAACTGTGATCACTCTGTGAGCACTGCAATACTGTGTATCCACCAACACCAATAGTATTTAGATACTATTACCCTCTGTAACAATATACCAGCATCCAATGAGATCCTTCCAATTTGCTCTTATTCCAAGGTCCTCAAAAGACAAGAAGGGTCTCAAGGCTCATATTCAAGGGTTTGGAGCAAATTTGCCAAGATCTCATTGGATCCAGCTCCCAACATGTTTCTTGTGTGAGTTCATCAAACAAATGCGATAAGCCATGTGTTGACAACCCACAAAATGGCCGCGGCGACACTTCCTATTCTGCGTGCGTTGGTGCGTCACGACGTCACACAGTAACGCGTTTCGTCACTTCCGGACTTCATCTGAAGGGATCACAGAGTGATCACAGTTAATCTTTTTGTGCACGAAAGAGATATATATACAGTTTTTGCACAGTTTTTGTGTTTTGTGTTTTTGCACGGAGTGTATATATTATTTATAAATATTATTTATAAAGGTAATGCACTAGATTATTCAAATTCAAATTTGTTTTTTTGAGGTACCGCGGGATGAAATAGGATTTCTTCCTACTGGATGATAAAGTTTGAACATTGGGACATTTTTTTGGACACTATTTTCACTATTTTTGTTTTTATTGGGACAATTTTTTATTGGGACAATTTTTTTGTTTATTGGGACACTTTTTATTGGATGTTTTGATTCTTATTTTAATTTTATTTTATTTTATTATTATGGTATTTGAATATGAATATGTTTATGTAAATTCAAAAAGGTTATAATATTGTTTTGGCTTATTACTCAGACGTAAAAACTGTTTCCTTTTTTTTTTTTTTTTTTTTGCTTCATCACTTTCTCTAAGATAACAGCCCAGTAAAACCTTCCTCTTACATTGTTGCCAAATGTCCAATCAAATTACATGCCACTTTGCTATATACAGTATATATTGATGAATGTAAAATATATAACCTTTATTTAAATATATAGAAAAAATGTATGCTCAGCTGTAATTAATGCCTATTGGAGTGGAATGTACTGCGCACAACAATATGACCGG